TTTTCTGCAGCAAAATTGCCGAAACAACAACTGTTTGCGATTTGATTGAGTCGATAAATCGATTAACTTTGCCAAATAATCGGTATGTAATTGAGGGTTGCTTTAGTAAATCAAGGAACGAAAAGCAAGTCTTGAAACACTTTTGGAATTAATTATCCTTTTTTGTTTATTTTAAACTTGTTGAAATAGCTAAAACAGCTGTTTTGCTATACCAGAAACAAAGTGAAGAATGGAACTTATCGATAGCAAAAAGTTGCGAATTCAAGAGCATCCAAAAATAAAAACGTACGATTTTTAAGAAAACGCAAGACGCAAAAGTGAATGAAAATGGGAGCCCGGCTGATAAATATCGATAATATAAGCGAAATCGTAATCTAACCATGCTACCGCTCTATTCTAGTGTATCAGTAGTCCATTTGGCTCGATATTATGACAATGCAGCAAAAGATATTTAATATAAAAAATCGCCTTTCCATACGATTTTTGTGTACGTATTTTTCCATTGATAACCACGATATCTTTTATATTGTATATTTTGAGGACAAAGATTATACAAATCCAGCAATTTTAAATATTAATATCGTTCTGAAAACACCAAGTTCTTTAAAAATCGCAATAAAACGAAATACGAAAGTGGAGTATTTTAGATACTATTTCCCAACGAATAGTAGTATAAAAATTAAGATCGGCAGCACTGAAAATAAGCATGCCGATCTTGTCAAAATTACAACAAACACGTCGCTACTGACAACACATTGTTATTATTCCACCATGGGCAAAGCCGTTCTCTCAATGCGTCGGCCATGATTTTTTTTGAAGTTTGCCAACATTTTAAAATCGTATCATGGTGGAATAATAACAAGGTGTTGTCAGTAGCGACGTGTTTGTTGTAATTTTGACAAGATCGGCATGATTATTTTCAGTGCTTCCGATCTTAATTTTTAAACTACTATTCGTTGGGAAATAGTATCCAAAATACTCCATTTTAGTATTTCGTTTTATAGCGATTTTTAAAGAACTTGGTGTTTTCAGAACGATATTAATATTTAAAATTGCTGGATTTGTATTATTTTTGTCCTCAAAATATAAAATATAAAAGATATTGTGGTTATCAAATAATACGCACACAAAAATCGTATGGAAAGTCGATTTTTTTATATTAAATATCTTTTGCTGCATTGTCATAATATCGAGCCAAATGGACTACTGATACACTAGAATAGAGCGGCAGCACGGTTACATTACGATTTCGCTTATATTATCGGTATTTATGTGTTTTAATCTATTTAAAAAATCATGTACAGTCTTATAGGAAATTTCTTTATTTTACGGCCTTTACTTTTTCATAACATACAATATATGTCCAAGCTGTGTGGAGCTAACGATACAAACATATATTCAGGCTTATAAGCTTGTAACTATACATTTTCCTACATTTAATTTGAAATAGTATGCACAAACGGATTAAAATAATAAATAATTAGTACCTTTTCTACTACTTTAAAATGCGTGACCGG